AACCTGGACTGGGATTCCTTCCTAAGGGCTCTCCACTGGCCTGCTTCACCGTGGGGCAGGTGTAGTAATTCTCCCGCTCTCCTTGGTGTGGGCCTGTTGACATGAGGAGAGACCGCAGGCTCAAGCTAACGGTGGGGCCCGTCTCCTTTGGTCAGCTTTTCTCTGGGCAAAGCTGTCAGAGTCAAACCCAGGCAGTGACCAGCAGCCGGTGTGCTGCCCAGCCTGCACGAGGGGCTGGGCTGGGAGCAGAGAGGGCTGCAGCCCGTGGCTGGGACCCAGATGAGACCCACCCGGGTCCTTCTGCCGAATACACTGAGCTGGCAAAGGTCTTCTACACCGGATCACAGCTGTTGTCACTGGGACACCAGAGCCCATGGAAACAAATTCCCAGATAAAGAAATCCTGGCTTAGAGTTCACAAGGCATAATACAGCTTTATGCAGTTTAGTAGCTCAGGTGAGGATCTGGCATGCGAAGTCAGCAAAGTGGCTACAACACAGCCCCGTCCAATAACAACACACAAATAACATCGCTCTGGAGGGCCTTCCTGCCAGGGGACACAAAGGCATCTGTGTTGAAGGTGGACCATGCAAGTTCCAGAGCGTGGCCCAGGTGTGCTAACACCGCGTCAGTGTGCAGAGCCAGGAATGAACTCACTGGTCCTCCCTCCACTCAGCTCTGACACACACCCAGCTCGCCGGGAAGGGCTTCGTGCCTGTCGGCATTAGTCTACACTTGGAATCATTTACAACTTGGGGCTGGCAGCTCACCTTGAGGGCATCACTTGAAATAATCAGGCATTTGTGAGAAATGAGGGGGAAAAGACCTTAGAGGAGTCTATGAGGGAAAAAGCAAAAAAACCAAAACAAACAAAAAAGGACACGATTGCTGATGAATACTGTTCAAAGATAAAAAGACTTTTTTCAAAGCTAAAACCTACACAGGAGTTGAAAGATAGTCCAGGGAACATCCTTGTGCATTTCCTGCAGTTTTTGATTGTCAGTGTTTGCCCCAGGAGCCGGCTCTTCTCTCTCCCTCCCTCTCTGTATCTTTCTTTCTGAACTATTTGAAAGTTAAGTTGCAGACACAATGACACATCAGCGAGCTTATCTTATGGATAAGAATGTTCTTTATAAGCCCAATACCATTCATAACTAGGAAAATTAACGTTAATTTAATAATATCATTGACTGTATAGTCTACATTTAAACCTTCCCAATGGCTCTTAAAATGTCTTCTGGAATATCTGCTTTTTGATTCAGAAGTTCATCTAATCTAATGTGTGATGGTTCGCAGACTGTTTGCCTATTTTATTTTTTAAAGACTTTTTTAGTAGTTTAAATGTTGCATTTTCTTTTTTTCTAAGTGAGACTGGCCATAAATTTGTATCAGAGTTTGGCATCCTAACTGTATATTACATGGAGTCATGGTAACTGTTCCCCAGGTGGTCATACCCTAAGGATGATGGGTTCTTTGGAGGAAAACAGGAGATAAGGTGATGGGAACACCACTTTATGGGTGAGGAAAGTTCCAGAATGGTGAGAAGCAAGAATTTAGATCTAAAAGCTTCCATTTCTTTTGGACTTGAGTTACTCAGATGGCTCGGGGCTGTCACTGCCCCCATTCCCCACATTCTCTTTCACTTTTTATAACTTCCATCAGGATCTGGTGTGAATAAAACATGATTAAAGTTACAGACTAGGCCAGGTACGGTGGGTCATGCCTGCAATCATAGCTCTCTGGGAGGCTGAGGCAGGTGCACTGCTTGAGCTCAGGTGTGGAGAGCAGACAAGCCTGAGCAAGGGTGGGACCCCCTTCTCTACTAAAACTAGAAAAACCAGCTGGGCCTTGTGGCAGGTGCCTGTAGCCCCAGCTACTCAGGAGGCTGAGGCAGGAAGATTGCTCAAGCCCGAGAGTTTGAGCTGGCCACGGGCTACAATGACACTGGGGCTATAGAGTGAGACTCTGTCTCAAAAAAAGTTACAGACTAAGAGAAATTTTAGATAGGGACTTTGCTTGCATTTATTCATTTGTTTTTCCTTTTAAATTTCATGAAAACAGAAAAAGAAACAGTAACATTTATAAAGTCCCCTTTGCCTTTAGCCCTTTTCTCTCTCAACAATGTCCAGTAAAATATCCCTCAGAAGGACCTTCCTGCCATGGATCCTTCCCCACAAGGCTGGGTGTGTGGCAGAGCTGAGTGGAGGGAGTGAAGTAGCGGGTAAGTTCATTCCTGGCTCTGCACACTGACGCAGTGCTGGCACACCGGGG